CTTGTTTTTATAGGGGTCTGTTACGAATCCCCCAAATCCTTTTTACGCAAGAAATCCGTCCCTAACTATCACTGGACAAAGAAAAAGCAACATATGCCAGTTTTTTACATTGAAAAGGGGGCCCCGCTTAAGGGCCCCCAAAACGGTACTTCGTGGTGATTCATAGCTGGGGAGCCTCAGACAGAAAATTCCTAGAACTCAAAAAAAAAGATTGCCTGTTTTCGGTGTCCCCTATATTTCAGACGCCCTCCAAAACTATACCTGAGCACCGATCACATCCGCATCTATTGTTCAAGGACCCTGCACTTGAAGCGAAAGAGGGGCCATACTCAGATTTTCCTCTGCTCCCTCCACTTAAATTAATAAACGCATTTGTTCCGAATCGCCCCTGTTACAAATCGCCCCATACTCCCTTACACACTTACAAATGCATGCTTGCAAGTACACACTTACAAACGCATGCTTGACGCATGGAGTTATACGGCGTCAAGCATGCGTTTGTAAGTGTGTACTTGCAAGCTTGCATTTGTAAGTGTGTACTTGGCCAAGCATGCGTTTGTAAGTGTGTACTTGCAAGCACGCATTTGTAAGTGTGTACTTAGTAGACAGTTAGGTTTGTAGTGTATCTGTGTGTGTGCTAAATCACGTACACAGGCAAATTCCTACAAACTGCTCGTCGTAATACAAAGAAAACGAAGACTTCGCAGCCTGCAAAGGAAATCGTTTGTAATACGAACGATTTTGTTCGTAATACAAGGAAAACACTGGTAGAACTCAAGCGTAGTTTTACGCCTTTCTTCAAGCATAGTTGAACTACGCTCGGCTTCAAGCGTAGTTCTCCATTTCGCATCTCTCCCGCCTATCTAAATGCCTGGGAGAATTTCTTCTCTACGCTTGACGTCAAGCGTAAAGTCTTCAAGCGTAGTTGTAATGCTAGAATGAAGCATACATCTACGCTTCAGTTTTACCAGTGAAATCCTTTAGCCTACGAAGAACTTCTTCGCAGCCTGCGAAGGATTTGTTCTTTGTATTATAAACAGAAAACGATTTCCTTCGTAGGCTGTGAAGCCTTCTTTTATTTTTGTATTACAACGAGCATTTTTTTTGGGGTTTTATTGTATAGAAAAAGTTTATCTGCAAAAAAAACTGTAACGTCTCGTACGAAACTTGTGCAAGAAGCATCAAGCTTGTCAACAGCGTGTGACAAACGGTGACGCTAGTGCGGCGCTTGCGTGTTCCAGGTGAGGAAGCTGGACGGACTGCAGTGCAGGGAGCGGCCCCACTGGAGTACAGCGCTGCTGAAGCGCGTTGCCCCGCGCGTCGAGTGGCTGTACGTTGGGAACGCCGTCCGGGAACATCTCGATGTGATCAGGGACATGTCAGCGCTGCGCTGCTTATACGTCCATCTGACGAAGTCTGTCAAGAACGCCCCAGACCTGCCGCTTCAACTGCGGGAAACGGGAAGGGGGGAACTTTTCAGTGGAACACCTTTCCAGTCGGTGCAGCGGATGCCCAGGCTGCGAAAAACTCCCTTTGGTGGTCCACGGTGCCCCGACGTGGCGTTCCCCCCTCTGCCCGCGGGTCACTGCGGCCTGCAGTGGCTCGATGCCCGCCTCCGGCCGGCCTCCACCGTCCTGTCCCGGGCCCAAAGGGCCCACGCCGCCACACTGCAGGAGCTGCGGATTCTGTGCGCGTCCGGGGGAGACGCCCGTGGCACTTCAAGGCCGGGCCCGAGGGGCTGCGCCAGTGCGGGCTGGTGGCGCTGCGGCGCTTTGTGCGGGTGCGGGGCCCCCGCTCCAGGCAACCCGAAAAGAAGTTTCCCCACGCCAAGTCGTCCCAAAAGCAGAAGAAGTCCGTCTGGGACAAACTATTGCCGACGGACTCGGAGAAGCCGGTCAGAATAGTGAAGGTGATGTGCGAGGATTGTGATAAAGAATGCCCCGCATATCCGCCTCTTGGAGACTTCACCTGGAAAGACGATTAAAACAGTGCTTCTCCTCTATTAGTCTTTCCTCTTTGTTTTCGTTTGGGTCAAGGCATTTTTTTTTTCCCTTTATAAAACTCCACAGTGAAGTGTTTCACGTTTGTCATGCTTTTTAAGATGTTTAGTACGTACCCACTGTCTGACGTCCTGTTGCGAGGGCTTTCGTGCTGACTTTGTCTTTGAGGCAGTCGTGCTAGTGTCAAGATGCATCTGTTTTTTGTATGCCATGTGCAGTGCAGCGACGTTTTTTCCTTGAAATTTTTAGACTATAAAACTCTTCCAAAAGGAATTAACTATGAGATTTTCTTAGCTTTTTAAAATTTGTAAATAAAAGTGATTGTATGTAGTCCTACACAGATTCTGGTGTTCCCGACATAATGAGGCATGATAAATTGTTTGGTGAAATGGAAAACTAGATTACTCAGTCTCTTTTTTTGTTTGATTCGTGGCATGGTTAGTTCTTAATACACAAGCTTGTTTGTCATGTTGGGTTGGCTCTTTAGTTCCAACTGTCTGATGTCGATGCAGTTCACAGGGTTGAAATGTTATTGTACCAATGTCGAATGTCAACACTACTAATCTGTGCTTTCAATCATAATCGAAATTCTCGTTTTGTGATCTTACAGACCATTAATACCTTTTCAACCCCTTAATCAGTTTGACTTTTTGAGCTTTTGTCAAAATTTTCAAAGTGGTCTTTTTTCTGTTCTTTTCAGATTCGATTGTGTGGCTAGTGTCTGTGACGTCGGAAGGTTTACAGTAGTTCACAACATAAACTGCAGTTTCGAATTCCACGCGACACCCCAAATTTGAACTAATACTCAGGCCTCATCAGGAACAACACTGTTAAAAATCCAGCCATTTTTAATGGAAAGTTTGCACAAAATTAAAAAAAAAACTGGGGTTTTCCGGCAAATCACTATTTTTAGACGAAAACAATAATTCTGTTACTGTTTTTATTGGGAATTGCGTTTTTAAAACGTTATGATATAATGTCCGTGCGGAAAAAACAAATACGTGTTTACAGATAGGGATGTGCGAATGAAGGATTTTCATTTCGAATCGAATCTCCAAAAAAGTTTCGAATCGAATCTGGAAAAGTTGTCGAATCAAATCGAATCGAACTTTTAAAGATTCAGAATCAAAACGAATTCAAACTAAAAAAACTAAAAAAATTTGTGTGTTTCAAAACACATTTTCTGTAATGGGAAAGGGGATATAGAGCAGGAATACAAAAAGAAGAAAAAACTGATCTTTCTTTGGCATAAAAACAACGCTCTGCACGCGAAATCCAACCGTTCCCGTGCAACCGATACGAAGACGAACCACTGTTGATTCGAAAATTTCGAATATTCGGGGTCGAAGCAAAGAGATCCGTCCCCGAATCGAATCGAATCAGGGGTGATTCGATTCGATACCGAACTATTCGCACATCCCTATTAACAGACGAAAAAACATGATTCGCAGAACGCCTTCAGTTATTTCCTTTAAGAAAGGAAAAGTACGTATTATGGTTTCATAAAAATTGCATAAGTACTGACAAAATGAGCAAAAAGTCAGTAAAGGGGCTGAGAGTTCAAAAAGTCGCACATTGCCCCTGTAGGGCGGAACTTTTTTCGACATCGCTCCCCCTCAACCCGTTTCTGGATCCGCGCCTGGAACGTGGGCTTGCGTGCTGCCGGCCGAGTGAGCCGATCATCGGCTTCGGTGCAAGACGGGCGCTTTTGGGCACCGAAATGATGGTCTCGGGTGCCACTGTCTCGAACCAGGCGCTTTCGGTTGACCGGAGTCAATACCGCCTTCCTGCGTTGCGTCAGGCTTTCCCGGGAGAGGGGTCCGTTGCCAATTCAGGCTAAGTTGCGGGCAAATGCGCTCCCCTGTGGGAATGCCCCCGTGCGCGTTCGGGCGCCTTGGGGTATGGTGGGGAGTGGCTGAGCGCATTCGGGCGCAGTCGCGGTTCGGGCGCGCTGCTCTCAAGCAAGGCTGCTCTCTCTACTCGGCCCGAGTCCGTCTGTTTGTCGCGTCCTCGTCCGTCACGCCAGGTGCCCGAGGCCAGTTCTTCGGCGCCCGGAGGAACCCGAACGCGCCCGATCTGCAACTGCGTCCGTCGTTGGTCGTCGTCCGGGGCGGGTCGGCGTTTCCCCGTCCTGGCCATTTGGTAAAAAATCGGAAGCCGAGGGCCCTGGCTCCGGTTAGCCGCAGCCGGGCTTTTGGGTTTTTTACGGGGCCGCGTCCTCCCTCCCCTGGCTCTTGGGGGTTTTTGGGGAACATGGGGCCTCAGCGACCTCCACTTTAAAATCAAACTCAAATACTCATTTTTAAATTTTAAAGTAAGGCCCCCCAAAAGGAGTTTTTTTTTGTTGGGGGGAAAAAAAAACGCTCAGGGGTCCTCATCCCGATATCGCAGACTGATTTGAGAAGTGCACTCTTAAAACTTTGCAAAGAATCTGTACGCATTACTAACCATACAGTTTGTGTATTATGAACTGTGAGTTCGTAATTTTGCGAACAACGCACAAAGGAAGAGTTCCTGAGGCAACCACGTTCTTCGCAAATTACGATCACGAGGTTCGCAAGTTGCGAACTAGTGGCTTGTACTGCAAACAAAGTTTTCGCATTGTTACGCGAGAGGAGGAACCGCTTTACTGCAATGCGCGAAAACAAAACCGCTTATCTCGTCGAAGCTGAAGCAACGCCGCTTACCTCGGCAGCCCCAAAACAAAACCGCTTAGCTATTTGGCGCGCGACCAGATTCGAGGTTATGGTCAATCTTAGATACCATATTAGGGCTGAAATCACATTTCCGGTGGCATTGAGGCTGTAACCCATCGATAAAAAATCGTTGGAACAATTTTCTCCGACAGGAGTTATAATCACAAACCACAAAACTGAGGAAATTGAAACAAGTCGCACAAGATAAGCGGTTTTGCACAGCGCGCGGAGGTAAGCGGGTTGGTTTCGATGCCAATGGAATGACCGGTTTTGTTTCAGCCTCAGCGAAATAAGTGGTTTTGTTTTCGGTCATTGCAGTTAAGCGGTGTCTGACAAGTCCGATTCAGATTGTCAGTGCACCAAATCTAATGAACGTCTCCTCAGAAAGTGAACTTGGGAATGGAATGACCACTCAAAAATTATTGCGAAGTATTCTCCGGCATACTGTATATTACGAACTCCCTTACAAACTATTTTTGGAATTTGCCCATAAAATCTTTATGAAACTTGACAAACTATTGTGCTTCGCGACATTCCGAAAAGTTTTCTTCGGAACTTACAAACCATTCCTCTGCGATGCGAAGAAAGAGGTTTGCATGGTTTTACACTGTAAAAATTATGTTGTGAATTTACGACGGATTATTTTCCGAAGGTTTTTGGGAATGTCCAAAGGTGCACTGTAAATGTTTCTTTCCTACAGGAATTTTTGTAAATCAGCGGGAGTTTGTCGGTAATTTATGAAGGTTCTTTGTAAATTTACGAAGAAAAATCGTAAATGTACAAAGTCTGTTGTAAATTTACGAAGGGCTTCGGAAATTTACGACGGGCTTCGCTAATCTACGACGGGTCTTCGTAAATCTACGGCGGACCTTCGTGAATAAACGAAGGAACTGTTGGCAATTTTTTTGCCGAAGGATCCGTCGTTAGGTTCTCTGTGTATTAACAAAGGTTCTTTGTTCATGAACGACGGTTCCCTGTAAATTTACGAAGGATCTTTGTAGATTTACGAAGGTGCTTCGTAAATTTCCAATTTGATTGTAAAATCGACTGAGATCGTTCAAAAAACTAACGAAGGTTTTTGTAAATATATGAAGACTTTCGTAAATTAACCAAGGAACTGTTGGCAATTTTTTTGCCGAAGGATCCGTCGTTTATTCCGGACATTAATTTTTACAGTGTATTTAGTAATTTTCTCTGCAAGCTCTTAAGAGTGGCCATTCTTAGTACTGTGTTTCCGCGACGGCTGCAAGACCGTGCCAGCGTTGAGACTCGTCCTGCTCCAAAGGGCCTTCAGTTTTCATAGCTCGATCTTTGGTGAAAGTTTAAATAAACAAGTTAAAATTTAATTCTTTTCATAAAAACAGATGGTTTTTTGATGGATTAATAATTCTGAACGTCTAGCACCTTACTTGTTTAACACTGTCAAAAATTTTGTCGTTACTTTAAAACACATTTACTGCTAACATTTTTAGCGACAAGATTTGTTTTGGAACGGATAGCATTTTGGATCACTGTTGTTTTGCAACAATAAGGATAGTTCCACGACGACAAATTTGAAATAAGTTTATGAACAGCCCACCTTCAAAAACAAGCAGTTCACCACCAAATAATGTTTAAAAGCTACAATTATTTTAAGTTGTATAAAACAATTGTAATGTCTGCGACAAATATAAAGTGGGTGCTTTTGTCGCAAACTTAATTTTGCTTGGTTCGAATACTTCTAATAACAATATTTTCAGTATGAATTTGAAAAAGCTAATAGATAATGATTCCAAGATAACATTTAATTTAATTAAGTCCCATACATAGGTACTACAGCATTTATGGGGGAAACAAGAATTTGGTTCTTCTACGAGTCACTTTCTAAGTTCAGCAAAATTTGTTTTGCTTTGTTTCATGATGATATTCATTTTGAATGACTAAAGTTTCACCCAGTTCAACAAGCAATGCTTGTTTCTGTACAACTGTGTTTAACTGTGTTGCCTTACCCTTTTCCATTCTTCTTGTTCAGGACGTTTCCTCTTGCCGCAGAATGCCGCCCAAGAGAGCCCAGACGAACCGTGCCAGTGGCGCCAGCAAGAAGTCAAAGCGGGAAGGCAGTCCATCTCAGCGACGAGGAGATGCATCTTTACCTGACAGGTACGTCGTCGATTTATTCCCTCTTACTCTAAAAACCTTGCAAAGAATGTTCTTCGCAAAGTTGCAAAGAATACAAGTTGTTTGCATAGCAAAGAAAATTCCTTTGCAATGGTATAAACTTTTTTTTTTCAAGGTCTTGCACTGTAAATATCTGCGAAGAAAATGAAATGAAACCTGAAAATTAAAATGTTAGAATCTTAGGAACCACTATTAAATCTATCTGCTGTTGCATATAAATTTCTTTGCATCACCTAATTTGGTTTATTATATCGTAACTTGGGACTCAATTTTACGGATAAAAATGTTATTCACCATGTTGGCAACTGAATGCTACAGCACAAATACCATGTTTTCAATCATATTATTTTGGTCTTTCTGTACCACATTATCATCACTGTCTTATCAAAAGAACAGGGGAGCATCTGTTGTTTGCAAGTTTATGGTGAATTTTTTCGCAAGCCTAGTCTACGAAGAATTTTATGCGTAGACTTTTGAAGAAAATTCTTGGCAAACCGGCAAAAACTTGATTGTGTTACAGTGCCTTAGTTTCCTTTCATGTCCCTTAGATTTCCTGAAAAAAAAAAGGACCAATAATTGTGGCAAAGTCTCTTAAATTTGAAGACATAATGAGATCAGGCCAAGTAAAATAGCTTTTACTGCATATTCTGGGCCGATATTTTCAAATGTGCCAACGCTATCTGGTTTTTTATGTCTTTGAAGGTTCAATTGCCAAAATCTGAGGTTTGGGTACCTCTTCCCTTGTCGTCAGAATAATTTGGGAGAAACGACTAAAAGTTTACGTAAACCTTCATCACTCAGAAACTCCTAAGAGTTGAGACCCTTCAACTTTAGAAATAAATTCATCTTATGGTAGTTGAATCGTAACCAGAAAATAGACTTGTCAAATATTTCTAGGGCATGTAAATTCCATCGAACGCTCTTCCCACTGCGCGCAGGACGGCTGACTGGTGCGCGGACTGCTGGGGGAAGGCGCAGGAAGCGTGTCGCGCCGGTCACCAGCTTGTGGACCGAGACGCGGCTTGGAAGGCCGCGCGGGACGAGTTCACCGCTGCCAACAAGGAGTTCGCGCGGGCGATGTGGGAGTTCGAGACTGCGAAGGAGGGGCTGACCCGGACGCGGGAGCGACTGAGTGCTCTGGCAGGAGCGCGCGCCAGCCGGGGCCCCGTCCTCAGGGCGCTCTTCACCAAGACGGTCGACTGTGAGAAAAAAGTACGGAAAAAGTACGGAACATGTCTGGCCAATAATTTGCCTGGACCGTCCGTACTTGCCAACTACGGAACGTTCCGTACTTTTTTTCCGTACCCATTTACATGGGTTCATATGGAGCAAGTACGGAACGTTCCGTACTTTTTTTCCGTACCCATTTACATGGGTTCATATGGAGCAAGTACTCCGTACTTTTCTCCGTACCTCCGTACTATATTTTTCTGTACCATTTCCGTAAAAAAGTACGGAATGTTTTACAGTGTCAAGGACCACAAGGACGTGGCCCTCGCCGTCCACATCGCTCTGGCCGCCACCCAGACGCTATCCGCTGAGGACAGGAGCGCGGTCTGCGCGGCGCTCTCCGGACTGGTCCCCAAATTCAGTTACAAGGACGCGAAATGCAGCTCAGCTCACTGCGTCGTGAAAGTGGAGGCTCTGAAACACGTGATGGAGAAGCTGCCTGACTTCCTGGGGGGCCAGACCGTTAAGGAAGGCACCATGCTGCTCAGCCGAAAGGGGCGGCTGACGATCGTGTTCGATGAGGCATCGATGAAGGGGGTCATGGGTACCAAACTGTTCGGACACTTGCTCGTGCAGGGCAACTTCGAAGCCTTGCACCGTCAAGGCAACGCCGGCCGTTCTTGCCACGAAAGCGCCTACACTCTGGGTAGTGTGGAGTTCGTGATGTGTGGATGTAAGTGCGAGCTGATTCTTAACTTATCGGATACACTCCTGTGGTAAGTTTACTTGCCACAAATTTGGCAAGCCGTTTTAAATGCCAAAATTTGGCAAAGCTTTGACCTGAGATCTTCTAAAGCTATCCAAGTTTCGGCAAACTGGGGAATATTTCCGGGCCAAGCTTTCCAATTTTTGGCATTCAAAACGGCTTGCCAAATTTGTGGCAAGTAAAGTAACCACTGGATTTGCAGTGTACTGGTTCAGTGAAAAGTCTGATTCTTCTCAAGGGCAATACTATTTGGTGACTTTTTATACTAATTTGATCTGAGGATAGTCTGTTTTAGGTGGCGCCTGACAGGAGATCGTGTCTGCAACCGCACAACACGTGCGGGTGGCAGCCACGCGCTCCTGTAAGGTGTCATTGTAAGACGTAGACTTTAAGATCGACTATTACCTGTAAACTGAGGGAGCACTCTCACCCTCTTTAGACACTTTGCTACTTAACCATTAACGTAGGATAATGTTTGAAAAAATCAGTAAGTCATTGACTAATACGAAGTTGCCAATAAATTGGTTGATAACTTTATTGATGCACCCAAAAGTCAATACGGTACCTGTGAAATGATCAGTACGAGTCTTAGATTGAGATAACAATTTTCTTTTCATAGGACGACCTTCGAAGAGAAGGCATCAATATTGCCCTATCGAAGAATCAGCCTTACTTTTTAGTGAACTCCTTATCTCGGTTGGATATTGGGCGTATATAGGCTTACGCCCCTTAAAAGAAGTATTAAATCCTCGGTTAGATCGATGCCTTTATCCTACCAGTTTCTGAAATTTACCAAGCCTATATGCTGGTTAAATGAAGAGATGAGTTTCTTGCACTTTCGAGTATTCCAAATTCAAACACGATATTGTTGATATGTATTGATACAAATGTGTATCGCCATCAAAGGTCCATCGTTTCTTCAAAGGCAAGAATTTCTGTTCAGCCGTTTGTTGGCGACATTCACTTGCATCGCCAAATAGATACTTAAAAATCACCGTAGAGTGAAGTAGCTTGTCCACTCGTCTTTCCGGATTTCCCCCTTCTCAAACTAACTGCGTACTTTCCCCCGACAGGCGGCAGCAGCAGCTCGACGCAGGACGTTGCCGACATCCGCCGACTGTTCCCGACGGCCGCACACTGTCAGGTCACCGTTCAGGAAGGTGCGGTCACCTGGACGGCCGACCTGCCTCTGCTGGCAGACTGCCCGTCATCGGGCGAGCTGCGGGCCGCGCTGCTTCAGGCGAGTCGGGACGGGAGACTCAGAAGGGTGAGTATGACGAAACGGCACACTATAATGGTCCAGGAACGAGTCCAGGCAAGCGGGGAAAGGGAAAAATTGACTTATCTCCAAACGGAATTTTAATTCCTAGCACACTCTCTTCGCAAGAACGTGACATCACGTTCAAACGAATGTGACAAAAGTCTCGTTCCTTGTGTCACATTCGTTTTAATGTGGATATGCTTATTTGTGTCTGATTCACATCCAAACGAATGGGACACAACATTCAAAGGAAGTGACAATTTGTCTCGTTCATTTCAACATGATGTCAAGTTCCTGGAATGAGAGTGCAGTGGCAGAAAAAAGAAATAACTCAACCATAGTGCTCATGACTGTTAGTAAAATTGTCAATAGTAGATATCGACGCGTCCTAATAGAATAATCCTAACTGTTAGAGCAGATCCAAGACAATCCTAACTGCCAGAGCTGATCCAAGACAGACTTTCAGTGCAGATTTAGAGCTATCCTAACTGCAGAGGTACCTAAAAGTGTTCATGAAGTATCTTCACTGCAAATCAGAGAATCTCGATATATCTGAAAAACAATTTCCACGTATTTACATAAGGATGAAACTTTGTAACAAGCCCTTCGGCGAGTAATTTTGTGAAGTATGTTGGCGTCACGGACTTTGAGAAAACACCGCTTTTCACGTGATGTGCAGTTAGGTTAGTTCTGAATTGACACGAAAAGTTAGGATTGTCTTGGATCTGCTCTGACAGTTAGGATTGTCTTGGATCTACACAGTTAAAAAATGGTTGTATAGAAACAATCAGATGAGTGAAAATTTAGTCGTTCCAAAACAAAGAATTTTATCATGAACCAAAGCGAAAGAAATGTCGTTGAATCTTGTAAGCGACAATTTGTCGTTGAAGAACAAAATTCTTGTTATCACCCTTAACGATACTATTTGTATGGAAACAAAATCTTTTGCAATTATCTGCTAAATTAAAGCATATTATGAATAATCATCTATTGGTCTTCTTTAGTCATAGCAACATTACTATTATTAAAAAAAGAATGAGGCAAAATAAATTTAGCGACAAAAGTACTCCATAAATACTTGTCCCAGACATTACAAAATATATTTTTGACTTACAAGACTTGTCGTTGACCAACAACATTTGTTGTTGGTCAACGATTTGTATTTGAAAGTAGACTGCTAATGTGTTATTACAAGTTAGTCGTTATGGAATTATCCTTTAGTTCCAATACGAGTTTGGTTTAACAAGCTATTCGTTCCACAACAAATCTTGTCGCTAAAAAAATTAGCGATAAATGTGTCGCTAAGTTACGACAAAATTTTTGTCAGTGTACCCTGGCAGTTAGGATTTTTCTATAAGGACGCGTCGATATCTCAACTCATATTTTCACGAATCTAGTGTCAAAAGAATCAAGTCAATTTAACACCCTTGATTTTTGAAACTTAAGTTGGAAAAAATTCACCAGAGTTCCTTTGGTTTACATAAAGTCTTTTTAGTGAAATGATTCCCGGCTATGAAATCTCCAAGCAGCCGAGTCCTTTTCACCATGTGGCCTCGCCTCGACATTGAGCAGGGCAGGCTACATATTTCCTTCTGATTCACCACTCTTTCCTGGTTGTCAGAATGGCTTCAAGCATCCTCACTGATAAAAATTTTGTCGTTACCTAATGACATAATTATTGCTAATTTTTAGCAAGTAACTTTGTTTTGGAACAAATACCTTGTTGGTCCGTTGTTGTATTAATGCAACAGAAGTATGGTTCCACAACGACATACCTTCAATAACATATTAACAGTTCACCTTCAAAAACAAGCACCTGATCAACAATAAATGTTGTTAGTCAGTCAATAAATTTTTTTTTATGCCTGCGACAAATATTGATTGAGTAGTTTTGTCGCTTACTTAATTTTTCATGGTTTTACTTCCGTTAACAGGTATCTCACTTTGACTTAGAAAAAAACAAACATAGGGTATGATTCCAATATTACTTATGTTTTATTTTAATTCAGTAGAAAATGACGAAAGATGTTGTTCACACACAAATTACAGCATTAATGGTGATAGCTAGAAAATTGTTCTTCTTCAGCAAATTGTTGCTTTCTGGATCCAACAGCAGTTGTTTTTGCTGTGGTTCATGATGTTCAAGTTTTTGGACGACTGGTTTCTCACTTGTATGATTGTTTCTGTTTCGATTATTTTGAACAGCGCATTACACATGCTGTTGATTCTGCTGCAGGTTGTTGGAGAGGGCTCCAGTATCATCATGCCAGGAAGTGGCAATAGCGCTCCGGACAGTAATACGGTGGACAGCGAGCTGTCCCCCGCCGGCCAGCAGCAGAAGACTGCCTCGTAAGTACGGCCTTTAGTGCTTGCAGCGGGGCTCAGTAACCTTAACTAATAAGTTTTCAACATTCAAAATCTCCTGCAAGGGGAGGTCCACTAACGATAACGTTATGATGCCCTTTTGAGGTAAGTTATAACGGTCCCTGGTTTTAGCTTTCCCTGCAAACAAGGTTTTGTTCCTCTAGAAAAATTAAAAAAAAAAAAAAAAACGAGTCCCCCCCCCCACAGTGGGTCAAAAGACAGGTGGAGGCGAGGGGTCAACAACTCGGGCTATTCGGTGTACGCTCAGTTGGTAATCATTGATAATCAGTAATATAATCATAATATTCAACCATATTCAGAATAATCATACTATTCAACCGTATTCAGTAAAATCACAATAATCGGACATATTCATAATAATCGCTTTAATCACTAATAACAGGAAAAGTAGCGATATACACCGGCAACTTTGGCCCGTCCCGTACATTAAGAAACGTACGAATTTCTCCTATGTTTGACCCTGACGGGAATTAAATCTGAGTCTGGGGTTAAAATAAATGTCGTTTTCGTCATCAGCACCCTCAAAAACATCAGAAACAATGCAAAAACTCGAAAAAAAAGAATGTTCCAAAAATACCCCGCTGGGATTTGAACCCGGGTCCGAACTTCTCCGATTTGCTCGAAACTGGCACCATTGGTTTTCTCTCGTCGCCCCGATTCCAAAAATACCCCTACATGCCCTCCTAGCTGCATCCGTTGCCGAGATCCTCCTCGACCCCATGTAGACCATGATGCACCTGCAGCAGCGCCCCCGGGGCTCGGATCGGATTTGCTGCCACCGGGCGGTTCTTAGGGTCACCCAAGGAGGCTGCATACCAAATTTGGTCAAGATCGGACCACGGGAAGTCCTCGGACGAACGAACGGACGAACGAACGAACGAACGAACGAACGGACGCACAGCATGCATCATACTATATGCCCGTCCCTCCGTCATTTTTTTACAAAAAATAAACGGGACGGGCCAAAAATCAAAGATAATCCCATAATATTGCCAATAATCACTCGTAATCACGAATAATCAAGTCTACGTGTCATGTGCACAACAAATGCTGGGTACATACATGCAACCATTTTTTCCATGTAAGGGCTTTTTTCCTTCCGATAATCCCTGATAATCATCCCATATTCACTAATAATCATTTATAATCGCGATAATCACCGATAATCTCTATAATCTCACGGAATCTTTACCAATAATTTCAATAATCACGAATATTCACAATATTCACTTAGAATCAAAATAATCACCATAATCAAAAATAATCTTAATAATCGCAATATTCTCCATAATCGTAAATATTCGGCATAATCATGTATTCGGTGTACACCAAAACCCAGAGTTGTTGACCCCTCGGGTGGAGGCGGCCAAAACTCGAGACGCGTTTTGAGCTCGAGAGTCGCTAAACGGGACTCGAACCGAACGTGTGACCCCACCAATGGATTGCTCTCCGAACGAGGAATCCATTGGTGGGTCACACGCTCGATTCGAGTCCTGTGTAGCGACTCTGGAGCTCAAAAGTTTTGGCCGCCTCTACCAGTCTTCTTGCCCACTGTGAGCACCCCCCCCCCCCCCCGGAAACAGTGTTCTTCTGCTTCATGGATCAAATGGAAATCCCATTCTTGTGTCATTGTATCGCAACTTTCCACTGTGCAGGGCGGACTGGTGCGCGGACTGCTGGGCGGCGGCGAAGGACGCCTGCCATGGTGCCCACAGGCTTCTGGACATCGCCGTAGCGGAGGAAGAAGCCACGGCAGAGTTCACGGCGGCGAAGCAGGAGGTGTCGCGGACGCGGTCCGAACTCGTGGCTGCAACGCAGGAGGCAGAACGGAAGCAGTCACGTCTGGACGCTCTGGTGGACGCGAGCGTGCTCGAGAGCCCCGTCATCAAGGTGCGCATCGACGAAGTCAGTCTGCCGGGCTGGTATGTCGCAGGCGGTCACATGCACATCGGGCTGGCTGCGACGAAACCACTCACCGCCGCGGACAAGAGGGCGATCTGCGAGGCACTGGCGGGCCTGGAGATGGAGTACCACACACAGGGCACCGAGCGCACAATCGCTTACGGTTACGCTAAAGTAACCGACCCGTTGAAGGGTGCGATGGAAAAGCTGTGCGACTACGTGGAGGGCCAGCAGTTGCGGGAGGGCACCGTACTGCTCGGCGCGGACGGACAATTGGAGGTGTTCTTTCCAAGTTCAAAGCAACTTCCTTGTGTAAATGTGTGGGTGTCCTGTTTGGGCACGAAGGTGTTGGGACTCGTGCAGACCGGCCTGAGCATCCTGGAGGGTGAGGCCTGTATCGGAGTGTCCCATTGCGGGGGCGACGACGGAGACTGCTTCTGCGAGAGGCGCGACGCGAACTGCACCCTTAGTGAGGTGGAATTCGTGATGTGAGGCGAGCCCACCGCCTCGCCTGGTTCGGCAGATCTCGTTTTACGAAAATTTCTTTCGTATTATAGCTTTTGTATCGAGTTGTTTAAATTTTAGATGGTTCATTACGCAATGTGTTCTTCTTTTATTAACTTACGCATTTCGGAGACAGATAATTTCTGTCCAGATTAGTTTACCGACATCCCAGTTTACTCAATTTGGTGTAACCTACGTCCCAATTTTGAATTTTTAAAGGTATTTGATGAGCTTAGTTAGTTGTGATGTATTCTGATGTTCCCTTGAACCCAATTTTAGCATTTATTGGATACCCAATCAATTTGCCCCGTTGGTATTTAAAATTTAGTATATATGGTCTATTTGTCACACTGTTTACGGGAACTGTATTAAAGTGTTTTTAACTACTGTCAATTTTCCAGCTTTTTTCCTGTGCATTTCTCGTCGGTGAATGCAGGTGTGAGTGGAATGGAATATGCCCCAGCTTCCCCGCGCTCGGTCTGCATGTGGCCGTGATTTCAACAAGTTGGCTGTAATTATCTTGGCACCTTCTTAGAATCTGAAGGGGGTATCCTGGTGAAACTTGCAAGGAGGCTTTAAAAAAACCTTAGAAAAGATGAAACTTAGTTGAAACTTGTTAGGTCAATTATGTTAAGTTCCCTAAACAAAATTCAATCCAAAATGTTGAACGGTTTCTTAGAAACGTACCACTTTAGTGTTTTTTAGAGCAGTAGGGAAAATCTTCCTGCGTCTTTCATGGAGACGGAAAGTCTTGAAATTTTTTGGGGGGTCATCCTTAAGAGGTATACAAGAGATTTTAGTGCGGAAGTTTTTAAAGTCAATTCTTGTTCCAAATTAGAAATTTACAATTTTAAATATTTTAAAAAGTGAATTTTTCTGCATTTTCCCCAACTTTTTTGTGTCTGCAACCTGTACAAATGTAGGCCTCGTATTCTACCTTCCTCTGGCCTGCTGCTAACATCGGCGACCCGTGGCGCTACCTCACGGACCCGCGGGAACTACTGATATGGCGGGAGATTTTGAACTTGGAACATATCAAAAAAGGTTTGGGAAGTGAATTTGATCTGTATGACCTTAATTCTAATGAAGATGCTTCCCATGATAAAATATTGTGGCCTAAAGTGGATCCCAGGCACATAATTGACTACTTTTTGGTGTTCCCAAGAGCTCGGGTTGGGGTGGTCCGACTAAAGCTTTCTCGACATCTTTTTTTTTAGACCTACTGCTTTTTCTTGAATTATTGATTGACTTCTTTTGTATGTTTTGTGATCACTGATCATGTTAACCTACTGTTTCATTAGAACTGCAATGTTACTTCTTCTTGAACAATTGAGTGAAAAACTTATTTATGCAGCTTTTTTCTTTCACTTTTTGTACGCAAATGAAGAGAAAAATTGATGTTTCTCACCTTCGTTCAAAGTTTGTATTAATTAAATCTTAATATACACTAACAAATTGCTCACTTGCTCGCCCTTATCACAGTTTATAAAGAAATCGACACTACAGCCATAATTCTCTCTTAACTGTGATAGTAAGGGCGAGCATGTGAACAATTTGTTAGTATATATTAAGATTTAATAAAAACAATTTCTAAATTAAGGTGGGGAATATTAGTTTTTCACTTCATTTGCGCACAAAAAGTCAAAGAAAAAAGCTGCATAAGTAAGTTTTTCACTCAATTGTTCAAGAAGAAGTTACATTGAAGTTCTAATGAAACAGTAGGTTAACATGATCAGTGATCACAAAACATACAAAAGAAGTCAATCAATAATTCAAGAAAAAGCAGTAGGTCTAAAAAAAAAGATGTCGAGAAAGCTTTAGTCGGACCACCCCAACCCGAGCTCTTGGAACACCAAAAAGTAGTCAATCATGTGCCTGGGATCCACTTTAGGCCACAATATTTTATCATGGGAAGCATCTTCATTAGAATTAAGATCATACGGATCAAAATTTACTTCCCAAACCTTTTTTGATATGTTCCAAGTTCAAAACCTCCCGCCATATCAGTAGTTCCCGCGGGTCCGTGGCGCAGCGCTGTATGTTGTCCCCTGAATGTAGGCAATTTCAAGGAGCCGAGGAACCAAGAATTGAGAAATCCTCACCAAAATGGTGTCGACAAGTCATCAATGAAGGCCATGCAAGACAACTCATGTACGTGTCAACCAGGAAGGCATAAAGTCTTTCAACGGCAAAACTTTTTGTTGACTGGGTACAGCAGTGAAGTTGAGCGTAAGCCAACGGCGACTGATCTTTGTGTTATTTCTTTTTATGGGCGGCGATGAAGATAAACTACCCACTTAGCTTAAGGGTGTTTTAAACCTGTTAAATCTGAAACCTTCTAGGTACATTTTTTAATCTAATAACTTTGGAAATACTGTTTTGTTTTTTGCAACTTTGGCCATTTTTTCACCATGATCCATCCTTCACGACTCTTGTCACGGTAATTTCGAAGGGTTCAAGGTTTTCGGGAAGGTTTTTGCTCACATCCATGAGGGCCAGTCTTCGTCAGACCACCATGCCACTTAATCAACCCAAAGTTTTAGTCTAGTCTCAAATGATTCACACTTTACTCCTCAACAGAACAACCATATCAAATGGTTTTGAGAAGTATCCTCGTATTATAGGAAAATTTTAATGTTTTTCTCAGGACTTATGCATTGTTTTGAATTAAATTCCTATTCCATGTGAATGCTTGCACTGGTCTAGGCTTTCCATGCACACCCGTTCCTTGTGAGGGGAAGTTCTCATAAGGCACAGACGTGACTTTTAGTGCCTGCGAAGAAAATGGACACTTCCAAATAGCCTGGAGTCAAGAGGAAGAGGAGCATAAATCGGAAAAAAAGTCACCAACCATCGCTCATTTAGAAAAGTCACGCCAAAAATCGGCGTGACTCCGAAATTCACGCCTGGCACATTCACGTCAGATGACGGTGACACACACGTAAATTTCGGCGTAAATTTCCTGTCACGCCAATTTTTGGAGTGACTTTTTGTCGCCATAATTTGTCTATGTGTCCAAACTTTCAATTTTCAATGAAAGCCCCGAAACAGGTCGATCTCTGTGGTACTGTTTCCAGTCTATGTTCTCGTTCCTCACTTCACACTGGATGTGTTTCGCAGGCATTTTGTAAATGTGTTTACTAGTGGTCAATTGTTTAGAGTGAGCTGAGCTGGAGTTGCATGCTGCATTGGTAGTGCATAGGAGCGTGCTATTAATGGCGGTAGAAATGAACTCAGTCAAGATAATTGGAATCATGCATTATTTTACTATGTTCAGTCCAAAACCTTTCTTGCTCTATCTCTCGCTGTAAGAACCAATGAAAGAGGTCACCACATGGCAATTGCTCACAGATCGGGCAGTCAGTTTCTACAGTAAGTATACTCGCGATCGGTGAGCCGGCAATCCAACTCAGGTCGCTGGCGCTTGAACTGCTCTAGGGCGGCACGGCAGCTGTCCCCCTCCCCCTTCCGATATGTCACTGTTCCCGAAATCCGTTTTATACCGCCAACCTCCGCCTCCGTCAACTTGGAGAGGCACTTGAACCAGATCTGGTCGATGTGGACAGACTCCAGCCGCGGCAGGGACTTGAACAAGCCAATCACAGTCTCGGGGAAGACCTTCTCCAGCATGCCGTTGGTGGAAAGGTGCATCAAATTCGGAGTCTTGGTGCAGAGAGTCTTCAAAAGCTCGGATAACGCCGGGCGGTGCTCGTGGACGAAGAAATGACTGTCATCCAGTCGCAGCTCTTGCAGGCTCTGCAGTTCACCGCACGCACGTAGCTCGCGCTCGACGGTGCACAACTCGCGTTGTTGCTCTTGGTCACCGTCCTCTATCAGCAAAGAGAGGCTGCGTAGCCGGACTAGCGTCTTGACAAAAGCCACTCCCTCGACACCGCAACGCAGGCTTCGGAGCTCCACGCACTGGGACAGCTCGGCTAGCACGTCTGTCGAAGAAATTCACATCATAAATGCATTACACTGTTCAAATCGGGAAAGCCGCACTGCAAGATAAAGTGTGGATAGTAAACAAAAGTACAACAGGGATTGTAGAAAGTACAACGAGAATTGTACAAACCACAACCAGCCCTGGACTGCACTCTCAGAGCCATATTGACTTTTTGTTCATAGCAGCAGCAACATTTCCTAAGTAGCATTTTTTACGCAACAATAATACTTTGAAATTTGTTCATATGCCACGAATAAAAAGTCCATGGTATATGTACAATTCCATAGACAATATTTTTAGTACATTACTAACAAATTTGTTGATAAAATTGTTGATAAATTTTTTCATAAAAATTTACCAGAATAATCACTGACAAAACTTTTGTCGTTACTAAACGACACTTTTAATGCTAATTTTTCAGCGACAAGATTTATTTTGGAACGGATAGCTTGTTGGACCACTTGTTAGTCAGCGACAAGTATTGCAAGTCCATAAAAATATATGTAATGTCTGCGACAAATATTGATCATGTACATAGAATTTTATTTGTATGTACTGACTTTATTGGCTGAGCGATAGCGAAGCCTGTTACTCGGGTGGGGTTGAAAAGTTTTTCCTGTCTGCGTGCGTGCGTGCGTGCGTGTGTGTGTGTGTCCGCACTACTCCTCCTGAACGGCTCGGCCGATCTCGGTGAGATTTCGCACACTTTTTAGGTATATCCTTGGCTCAGCACACGCGAAATTTCACTGTTCTAGCTCAACTGGTTCAGTTTTTATAGCCGAAAAACACCTAAAAAACGACTAAAAATCGAGTTTTTTTGCAGGCAGATCACTAACGTCTTGAGGAAAGGGGGGTCTGGGGGGCCGCCCCCCCAGCCCCGACAAGTTAAAACGTTACAAGGATCAAGATCGTGTTATCTGTATGAAGCAACTCTATCTAGAATGAAGGGGGGTCTGGGGGGCGGAGCCCCCCAGCATGCAACGAGAAAGAAGTAACCGACGATGGACAAGCCAATGCCTGCCGAAGGCAGGCTAGCGCCGCAGGCCAAGGTAGGTACGCCAGGCGCGGATTGGGGGAACAGGCCGCGAGACATCGCGAAGCCTGTTACGACAAGACGCGGTCTGGCGTAAACCTACCTTGTTTATTAGTTACTACTGACTCCGTTTCTTTCTTACTATTGACAAAATCTCTTAGTAGGCACTAACAAATTAGTCCCAGAAGGCCTCCATACTTCTTTTAAATAACTAGTGACAGATTTGTTAGTAAGGCTAACATACAATATATTTTTATCAGTAAGATACCTAAAAAATTGTTCATAAATTACATAGAAATAATTTTTAAGTAAAAGTACAGACAAAAATGTCAGTATGGCTCTGAGAGTGTGCCCAGCACTCGTCATGCCGGTTCCGTTGTACTTTGAACAACAATTGTTGTACTCGAAAAGTACACTAAATTCCTGATAAAAAATTTGCCAGAAATTTGTGTACTTTTGTTGTGGTTATTTTCTGCAGTGCGGAAGTATGATTTACGAGGGCGGGCCAAGAGCCAAAAAGGGCCCGGATCTTTGCTAGAGTCAAAGTTCGAACCCGTAACTTCTGCCTTCTTTTCAAAAGGATAAGTTATTTTTCTAGTTTCTCTAATTAGTATGCTCCCTGCTTATGGACTTTATTCCCATAACTACGGCCGCTTTTGTGCATACGGAAGTTATCTACAACTCTATATACATGAATTAGGTACATATTTTTAAATATTTGAGCACAATATGGAGATATTGTCCCTAATTTATGAGCAAATTTAGACATACACTGCAAATCCAAGTGTAGGACAGGTCGACACTTTAAAGCGTAGACCAGTTTGTCCTACGCTTGCAAGTGTCGACCAGTTTGTCCTACGCTTGCAAGTGTCGACCAGTTGTGTCCGACGTTTCGAAGTGTCGACCACACTGTGTCCGACGCCTGCATGTGTAGGACACTGTTTGTCCTACGGCAAATTACACTGAGTTTCCTACTGTGACCCCACACTTCAGCCGTCGGACATTCTGTGGTCGACACTTGCAGGTGTCGGACAGTGTGTGGTCGACACTTCAAAGCGTCAGACACAACTGGTCGACACTTACTTGCAAGCATAGGACAAACTGGTCTACGCTTTAAAGTGTCGACCTGTCCTACACTTGGATTTGCAGTGTAGCTTCCGTACGTACAAAAACGGCCATAGTTATGGACATTAAAAGTACATAAACAATTAGTGTGTGGAGATAACGGAAGCACTTGCAACACTGTACAAAAAATGTCCTGCCAATGCCGTTAATTTATAACCAATGTTTGCTGCACTGCGAGAAAAGATCACGGTAATCCTGTACTGATTACTCAGACTTCACCGTACTTTTTTTAACAGGCAATGCCGTCGTTTTTTTACAGGCAATTCCGTCCTTTTTTTTTTCAGGAAACGCCGTACTTTTAAAAAGGGAATCCCGTACATTTTTTTTTGGGGGGTTTTTTTTGGGGAAAAAAGGGGGGGGAAAAAAAGGGCCCTTTTTTTTGGGGGGTTTTTTTTCCCCCCCCCTTTTTTTTTTTAAAAGGAAAAAATTTTTAAAAAAATTTTTTTGGGGGGAAAAACCAAAAAAAACCCCTTTTTTTTTTTAAAAATTTTTTGGGAAAAAAAAAGGGCCAAAAAAATTTTTTTCCCTTTTTTTTTAAAAAAAATTTTTTTGGGGGGGTTTTTTTTTTGGGGGCCCCCCTTTTTGGGGGCCCCCCCCAAGGAATTTTCCCTTTTTTTTTTTTAAACCCCCCCCCCAAAGGGGGGTTTCCTGGGGCCCCGGATTTTTTCCGGCCCCCCGGGGGTTTGGAAACCAAAAAAATTTTTTCCGGGGGGGGGTTTTTTTTTTTGGGGGGCCCCTTTTTTTGGGCCCTTTTTTTGGTTTTTGGGGCCCCCCCGGGGAAAAAATTTTTTACAAAAAAAAAGGACTTAAAAAAAAAAGGGGGTTTTTTTTGGAAGCCCCAAAGGGGAAAAAAATTTTCCCCTTTTTCCTTTTTTTTTAAAAAGGTTTGTTTTTTTTTTTTTTGGGGGGCCCCGGGCCCGGGGCCCCCAAAATTTTTCCGGGGTTTCCCAAAAACCCAAGGGGGTTTTTTTTTTGGGGGGGGCCCCGGCGTCAAACTCACAGTGTTTACTGGGGACCAGATCACAGTGAACACCGCGAACAAGATCACAGTGAATCGCGGGGAAACCCCAAAAAATTTTTTGGCCCGTGAAAACTGGTAACAAATTAACGGCATTGACAGGACATTTTTTTTACCGTGAAAAGTCCGTACCCTTCTTTAGCGAACATTGTCTTATGTTACGTTATGGAAGCAGTGATAGTTAAATTTGAAGTTAAGGATCCCTGCTGGAAATGCTCTTACCCTCGGATGACGAGCACCAGTACTCGCAGTGGACGTGGCGCACGGACTGGGCCACGCAGCCACGGAGATCTCTCAGGAACGCCCGGCAGCCTCGGACTTTGTAGCGAGACGCCCCCAGTGTGAGGCGTTTGAGGTTCGGCAGCCGTTGTCCCCTCAGCTCGCCCTTGTACCGGGGGCCGTCAGACAGCATGAGGTGCAGCTCCTCCAGGTTCTGGCACTGCCCCAAGGCGCGCAGCAGTTCCTTTCCTGCTTGCAGCGTGTGGCCCAGCTTCAGGTACCGGACGTGGCTGCTGTTCCTCGACAGGAAGTCGACAAGCGTGGAAAGTCCTTCTGGCGTCAATGCCTGTCGGAGAAAATCAGGAAAGGAAGCACTACTCCCCCAAAAATCGGGCTGCGGAAACACGATCCCGTGGACCTCAGCTCGGGAGCGAACCAGGGCAGAGGCCATGGTCTCTTTGTCGTAGGGGCACGAGAGGAGGTCTGAGGAATCGCTGGGGCAGTCGAAGCAGACGCGACGCAGTGCAGGCGCGTGGAGGAGGATGCGCGCTGCTTTCAGAATCTTGTCGTGGTTCTCATGCTTCTTACTGTAGCAGCCTTCTTCGTCGTAGGAGCAGCCTACGATCGACACCGTGGCGTTGTTCCAGGCGCCGGGGTCCCGGGACAGGCGGTGCCAGCGCTTGCAGACCAGCGGGACCGCGTCCAGCAGCGTCAGGGCGTCGTCGATGTAGCTCAGCACCATGAGCAGCAACTCGTCGGGGAACGCGTCCATCCTCGCTGGAACAAAGGAGCCACATTGACTAATCTCAAAAAAGAAAATTCGCACCCCTCCATGACCATCTCCGGATATTTTGAGGGCTTGTTAGACACCTGAAGCGAAGTTCTTTTGCCAAATTTCCAAATCTTGGAAAAAAATATCAGCTGGGTTGCGGGCAACAAAAGTTTAACGCTTGAAATAAAAACACGGATTTGGGAACTATGCACAATGGAGAATTCGTATCTCAGGGGTTCCAAATTAGAGAATTATACGTAACTGACCGGATTTTGCTTCATAATAAGAAGCATTTCTTCGTAAATAATACAATGCCTTCATTTTCTTCGTATTACGAAGCGATTTTTCGTAGAGTTTTTACAGTGTGCAAAAGTCCGTACCCTTAACCTTTAGCGGACATTGTCTTAACTAACACTGCTTTCATAAAGAAACTTAAGGGGACACTGAGAAAACCTTACAAACTATTTTGGGCCTTACAAAGAAAAGTAGTTTGTATAACAAAGTATTTTGAGCATACGTAAGCTTACAAAGAAAATACTTTGTAATTTACGAACTATTTCTTCGTATAACAAAGTATTTTAGTTTGTTATATGTATGCTTAAGATACTTCGTCAGGTTTTAAGAGTGGAGGTTCTGGTGAAAATCTTGCCTTTTTCCAAATGGATCCCACTGTCATGATTTGTTCGGAACATAAAATCTTTCTTCGAGGAGACTAAAATTTGACTTTTGAAAGCACACCCCAGGCTCTGAACCCAGTCGAAGAGTCTTTTTGAGCCTATTTTGGCTGTATCTTAAAAAATCTCCTTGCGCATACTATTTTGTCGTAACAGGTTGACCTTGACATTTTTCACTTCTTCAATTCATTTTGAAAAGATACCGGCATGCATAGCTCAAAATTTCCATTATATTATTAATTGTAAGCTTTTTAAGCTGAAAAGTCCCTAAAAATTGACTATTTTGTACATTTTTGATCAATTTCAGTGAAATGCTTAGATAGAAAGTTTGCGAATGAAAATGTAAATTACATTTTGAGTTGTGCATGCCGGCATCTTTTAAAAATGAATCGAAGAAGTGTAAAATGTCAAGGCCAACCTTTTACGACAAAATAGTATGCGCAAGAAGATTTTTAAAGTTAAAGCCTAAATAGGAGAAAAAGGCACTGCGACTGGGTTCAGGGCATAGAATGTGCCTCCCCAATGAAAAATTTTAATAATTACTTGGCAAGACATCAAATTTTTAACTAATTTTCACAGTGGGACCTATTTAGGAGAAAATAGCATTTTCACCAGAACCTCCCCTTAAATGTTAAGTTATGGATCCGTGCTTTTCTTATCAAGCTTCTAACAGTGTCCCTCCCTCCAACACGACTCATGAAAACTTAAACCCAAATTGCGTCGAAGGATCACTGAAAAATGAAAGGTGGGAAATTAAGCCACCCAACCTTTCTGTGGTATTGGAATCGGAATTTTCGGCATGAAGAGGTGAGAATGTTTTCCCCCATCATACAGATCAATACAACAATTAATGCAAAAATTAAGCGAAATGTTGATTCTGACCACAAGGCGGTGGGAAATATTTCACTGAAAACGTAATGGTCGAAAACATGGCCAAATTATGGCGTTTACAAAATGTCACGGAAAAAATTGGCGAGACACGAAATTCACGCCCAAAAACGGCATGATATGTGAGTCACGCCGTCATTTGGCGTGAATGACGATGCGTTTAATGAGAAAAGAGCAGCTCCAGACAAAAACAAAAAACACTTGGCCGGGGACCCCCTCAGATCTGGCTCCCTCCCGGATTTTTTGGTTCCTCTAGTGAATACAAATTGCCGAAACACAAATTAGGCCGGATCCGACACCGATCGGCTTTTTGGTAGAGGTCAAAAACCCCTAAAAATGGCTGTTTTTGAGGGTTTAGGGCTTTTTGGGATCCCGGAACCTGCTGGCCAAAATATCACAAAAGTGTCGTTCCCGAAAGAAAAAAGTGCGCTCTTTCGAATTCCGGGTTGCGCGAGGCTCTACGACGTCTGGTTTGGACGCTACGGCTCTCAAAGTTGCTCAATTTCACTATTTTAACTGAAGATTTGAGCGTATCAGGGCCGTTCGAAGCAGACCATCGGCGATTTCGCTCCTCTCTGGGTTAAATGGTGCCTACCCAGGTAAACACCTCCACAAAATTTCAGCCATCTCAGGCAATTATTAGAGAAGCTGTGAAAATTGGAGTTTTGGGTTATTTTACCACTAAACTTAGGTGGTTTTGGGTCCAGAAAAAATATTTATTTTTCAACTATCTTTTTGAAAAAACGTTTTGAGGCACCATGTTAAAAATACGTTTCAAGAGGTGCTGATCAAATAGAGATAGTTGAAAAATAAATATTTTTTCTGGACCCAAAACCACCTAAGTTTAGTGGTAAAATAACCCAAAACTCCAATTGTTCACAGCTCCTCTAATAATTGCCTGAGATGGCTGAAATTTTGTGGAGGTGTTTACCTGGGTAGGCACCATTTAACCCAGAGAGGAGCGAAATCGCCGATGGTCTGCTTCGAACGGCCCTGATACGCTCAAATCTTCAGTTAAAATAGTGAAATTGAGCAACTTTGAGAGCCCGTAGCGTCCAAACCAGACGTCGTAGAGCCTCGCGCGACCCGGAATTCGAAAGAGCGCACTTTTTTCTTTCGGACACTACACTTTGGTAGATATTTTGGCCAGCAGTTTCCGGGATCCCAAAAAGCCCCAAACCCTCAAAACAGCCATTTTTAGGGGTTTTTGACCTCTACCAATAGGCCAATCGGTGTCGGATCCGGCCCAATTTGTGTTTCGGCAATTCGTATTCACTCGAGGAACCAAAAAAACCGGGAGGGAGCCAGATCTGAGGGGGTCCCCGGCCAAGTGTTTTTTTTTTGTCTGGAGCTGCTCAAAGTCATGCCAAAAACCGGCATGACAAGAAATTCACACCAAAAATTGGCGTGAATGTTAGAGACACGCCGATTTTTGGCATGACTTTTCTGTCGCCGTTATATGACGTGACACCTTATTCACGCCCGTTCATGCCCCTTAAACGGCATCAAGTCACGCCGATAGATTTTCCGAGATTTTCAGTTTAGTGTTCTAGCCAAAACTTGGTCACAATTCTCACCCTTCGATTTTCAGCGATTTCGCTTTTTAACGACTCATGCTTCCCCTAATGATTCCCCTTTGGGGCCTGAATGTAGGCAATACCCACACTGCAATCCACCCTGAAGGTAGGCAAAAAGTGTGACGTGACCCCATCTGAAGGCAAACACTCTGAATCGGATACTGTAAAGTGAAACTAGCATGTCCTAGAAATATTTGTCACAGGAAGATCATTTTGTAGCCAAAATTCAACCACTATTAGATGAATTTATTCCCAAAGTTGGAGACCCCAACTCTTATTAGTTTCTGACTTATGGAGGTTTACATAAACTTTCAGTCGTTTCTCCCAAATTCTCCTCACAACAAAGGATTAGTTACCCAGTCTTAAGATTTAGGCCATTTTTCCTTTTTTTTGGCATAGGAAAAAGATCAGACGAGAAGAGGCTGTAAAAGCTATTTTATCAGACCTATTTTTAACTTTCTTCAATATTGTGAGATTTTGACCCATTTTGGCCTTGTTTGGTTTTCAGGAAAACTAAGGCAGATATTGAAGTAAAAGGGCAACGCTATCTATTTTCTCCTGAAAAAAATAGACAAAATTGCCAGAATCTTTAGACTGGGTAGCTCATCCTTTGTCGTGAGGAGAATTTGGGAGAAACGACTAAAAGTTTACGTAAACCTCCATAACTCAGAAACTAACTGGAGTTGGGGCCCTAGTCTTAGGGTATGAGTTTATGTAATAGAAAGGAACTTTTAGCCCTAAATTAAGACACCTGACACAAGTTTTCAAAAAATATCATATAGCCACTAACCTCAAAAGCTTGCAAAGAAAAGTACTTTGCAGTACGAAGTATTCTCCAGCATTGAATTACGAACTCCCGTGCAAACTTTTTGCAAGTTGCAAAGTAATACTTCGCAATTCTAAGAAAATATTTTGTAAGGGAGTTTGCATAAGACAGTGCAGGAGTACTTCGCAAGGTTTTCCGATCGTATGCGTAACTTCTACGTAGAAATGAAAACATACGTAATAAGACAAAATTCATCGTACCATACCATACACCCTTAAATGCTTGCAAAGAAAAGTACTTTGCAGTACAAAGTGTTCTCCAGCTTTGTGTTTCGAACTCCCTTGCGAACTTTTTTCTTCGCATTGCAAAGAAATAGTTCGCAAGTTGCGAAGCATTGGTTTGTAACGTTGCAAAGCATTTTCTTTGGAAGCTGCAAAGTAAGTTAATACTTCGCAATGCAAAGAAAAAAGTTTGTAAGAAAGTTTGCAATACAATGCCGGAGAATACTTGGCAAGGTCTTTTGAGTGTGCACTCAATCACGACGAAGAAATCAGACGTGCCTTATGAAGAAAACCTGAAGAAATAATATGTAAAAAAATTGAGCGTGCAAAGCCTGGGCACGCGTCTGAATGATAAGAAATCGAAACCACCCTGTGAATTCAGAATGTGTCGATACTCACCCCTAGCTCGGGCTGTTCCTCCCCGTGCGCGGACACACACACCACACACACACAGTGATCAGAGGTCACCACTGCACTGTCGCACGAAAACGGGTCGACTTGGCCCAACTAAGTCGGGCACGTCGCAATCACGAAGCTTCTTTCCTGAGTAAAGTTTCCCCTGCCGCCCGCGCTGCTGTAGGGCGAGTGCGAGGGCGAGTGGCTGGAAAGAGTGGCGTGTGCACCGCACCGCGCGCGGTTGCCAGCAGCGTTGCTTTGGTAGACTCAAGAGTGAGACAAGTCGCCACCAGGGTGCGCTCGGGTCGCCACCGGGGCGCTCACGATGCCCCATTCCCGGCGGAGGGTTTCGGCGGGGAAGCAGGAAATTCCCCTCGGCAGTCCGCTGGGCCGGCGGCGAGCAAGAAGAGGAAGACCCTAATCCGTCTCGCCGCCCGAACGGCACAGCCGAAACCGCAAGATTATTTCCTTTTCCCCAAAGTCTCCACTTAGATCCACTCGGGGATGCTACCCTCTAAAAAGCCAACGAAGCATTTGCTTTCTAATAACAAAGAAAATTATAACTACTTCGTATCATCAAGAAATGCTTCGTATTACGAAGGATTTGCTTCATTATACGAAGCATTTCTTCGTAAATTTTACAATGCCCTCACTTTCTTCGTGTTACGTACGAAGCCATTCTTCGGAGAGTTTTTACACGTCGGAGTCACCGCTCAGGTCCTTTCGGGTCCGCTCGGGCCAACCCGGGGCTCGGGGACCTTCGGTATCGGCGCTCGGCTCCGAACATCGGCTGCGCGCTCGGTCGGGTCCGCTCACGAGAGGACCTGAGCGGTGGCTCCCTATCCACTCTATCTCTCCCAGCCCTAACCTTTTCCAAGTACCCCTCTCCTCTTTCCCCCGGGAAATCCCCCGGAAAAGGGGGGCCCAAAAGGCCCTCCCAAAGGGGCCCCTTTCACTGAAAACTTAAAAAA